TACATTACATGACATTACATTACACTACATTACATTACATTACATTACATTACATTACATTACATTACATTACATTACATTACATTACATTACATTACATTACATTACATTACATTACATTACATTATTACATTACATACGTACATCTACACCGGAATATACGGCTTCTTCAACCTTTGAGCTCTTTTTTTGGCAACTCCTGTCTATTAGCCCGAACACACAATATAGGGGTCTAAGCAGTGGCAATAGGGTTTGGGGCATATTCTCGTATAACTATAATTAAGTACCATTACAAAGCATTCAAACCGCTGGAAGGTTCGCACAGCCCTCAGGGAGACGGATTATTCGGCAATTTCGCGTTTCAACAAGTTCGCTGGAGCTCGCCTGTGCAAAGATCTTGCCGGTGCCCGAAGTGCAGCCCGTTACAGCGACGACCTTCCCAGCCATGCTCGGCAATCCTGGCCAGCGGTTGCAGTGTTGCGTAGTTCGGGTGCAGGTTTGGGCTTACGTTTTAGAGTTTGGGTTCGTGGGTGGTGGCCCAATTCTGATTGTCATGCATATCGCGAGTAAAGGTGCCCTGGTTTGAGATTTAAGCTTCACACAAAAACTTGGATCTCGAAGGTAACGCTTCGGGTTCTGTGTCGAGCCTTGGTGAGCAGCAGGAGAACGAGACGGCGAGGGAATTACTTTCCAACTGCTCCGGTTTGCACACCACCTAACACAAACAGAGACAGACCCTGAGCCGCACAGCCTGAAACTTTACCTACCCCAACCCGGAAGCCGTGCCTGCCACCACACCCTCGAAGTGGCGATTGCGACCAAGCAAGTTCCCCATGGCGCAAGACGAGCTGCCGGGACTGCTGACTTCTATACTTGGCAGCTTGCCACTTGCACCGAAATCGCTCGAAAGATATCCTGCGTCCTCAAGCCCTATAAACCCTAAACTCCCCCTCGAGGCAGTGAGCTAAGCTGGCCTTCTGTCCTAAATCTCAACTTCTTGTAAGAAACCCCTCGGGAGCGACGGATGCCGACATACTACATATGCTACCTCCTTAGCCCTTCATGCAAGGGGCTACTTCTGTAACGGACTTTTCTGTACATTTCACTACACTACAACCGCTGACAGGAATCAGCGGGAATGAGATTCTCTGTGGGGTCTATATATCCAAACATCAATCGCCGGACAATGGCTCAAGCATCAGCACAACAGGTAATGGATTCGCAGTTGATTTAAGGCACATTTGTCATCGATCCCGGGGGCAGCTCATAACAAAAGAGAGACTTCGAAAGTTCGCAGAACCACCCGAGAATTCGCACAGCGTTCAGAGGAGTCACAGACATACTGGCATACCCATACCCGTACCACGACTTACGCGACATCCGCCGGATTCCTAGACATGTTTCAGAGCTGCACCGCAAGAGATAGAGCAATAAAGGTGACGGTTGAGTGCGTGGGACCAACTGGAACACCATGAGACTATTTATTGTGAGCCGCAAATAAAAACCCACATCGGCGCATAGTGTATTACCGAATAAGGCCAAGGAGCGAGGTGAAATGCTTGGCAATGAGCTCCTGATCAGGGTTCAGGGTTTAGGATTTAGGGTCTGATGGCTTTGGCTTGGGGTTCGCTTGCTTTGGCCTTCAGATGTCGAGTCATGTTCTGATGGCGTAGCCCATTCTTGGTCATGGGGATTTTCAAGAACTCCCTTCTACACACAAAGGTATGTGTATATTTTTGTAGATATTAATATATATATATATATATATGTATATGTATGTATGTATGTATATCGAGGCTCCCGACATGTAGATCCGGGGCTTAACAGCTTAACACAACCGATAAGCGTTTAAGCCTGAAGCCTCTTTAAGCCGGTTCTTTGGCTGACGGGCTTCTTCAACTACCTATCCGCATGATGAGCCCAGCACTGCTATATGACAACGTGACAACTCGGTTTCGGGTTCAGGGTTTAGAGTTTAGACTGTCCAAGAAAAACACATTAGATAGAGCCAAACCATGCCGTTCCAGAATCCGCTTTACAAGTACAAACTGCTGCTGCTCATTCGTAGAAGTATAGCACTACAGCAGCACTGACCTTCATGAAATGAGCAGTAATATCCAGAAACTGCCGAATCAACCCACGCCTGACAGTCTAAACCAGAAACCCTCCCAAACCACAAACCCTTTTTGCAACAGGCCACGTTGTCCAGCAGCCAAATCCCAAACCCTAGAACAAAGACGAGTCAAGCAAGAACGCCCGATCCGGTAACCGAGCGGCCCCAATTCGTGCAATCTTCTGCAAACGCAGCAGTCGCCTGGGCTGCTTCTCTCTCTCTCTCTCTCCCTCCCTCCCTCCCTCTCCATGTATGTATCTGTACCGAGCGTCTGATTAGGGCGTGTGGATACACGTATACACACACATCGTAAACAAACAAACAAACAAACAAACAAACAAACAAACAAACAAACAAACAAAAAAACAAATAATTAGGCAACTTATGCCATGTACATATATATATATATATATATAGATATTATTTTGTTTATTTTAATTATTTATGGATAGCATCATAGAGAGATTCTCTGTTTTCCAAAAGAGAAAAACCAAGAGAAATACAAGTCGATTCAAGATGGCCCAGTCGCAGGAAGCGCATCACACGAACGATGCGAAGCACACGAACAGAGCCAAGCTCCTGATGTGCAAGAATCGATACCCGGGTTGCTCCAAAGGTCTTCTTAAAGGAGGGTCCAATGGTAATACATTTGCGAAGATCCTAACCAACAAAGGAACCTACCTGCTATAGTGGGGGCTAGTAACTACCTAGTAACTCGGTAGCATGAGCTCCAAACGGGAGCGAGAAAACAGAGTCCATCCCTAGTTAGCCCTACAGTAGAAGCCCAAACGTTCAAAACCCAATAGCCTCAATCCTTAACAAGTTTGTGTAGGGAATTCCAGCTCTGATTGTCCTTAATACGGTTTCCAACCTTTTCGGGGTTTACTGTAGAACCCCCCTCCCCCCTTTGCTAAACTTGAGCCGATCCGGCTGGGATGTGCGGGGTGCATTTGGACTTCTATACTCAGGCCGTCAGCAGCCGCCGGTCCCAAGACGGCCTTTTTCTTTAGTCCCGGGTTCCCTTTACAAAGCCGTATAGCCTTAGCCTAGGATGAACATCCATCCAGAACGACGGGGCACTATGCTCACTGGGGTCGGTGATTGGAGGCGTGGATTGCTTATTCTGGGGGGCTTCGGGCTCGGTATAGGGCCGACATCGCAGTTTGGCCTCATCAAAGCCAGACCTCCGGAGCGCGCCTCTGAGCTCTCGATAGTAGTGGCCACAAACTCCAGAGTTTTAATCACGAGCTCGATAATCACCTAAAATCTGAGGGCTATGAAGCCCGTGCGGTTTGAGGCTGAGGGAGCTCACGACTACAGGGTTGCGGATGTACCGGTACCAGATTGAGGAATTTATCGGCATTGAGAACAAACGAGGAGTCAGTGCTTCGGAGCAGCTCTATCAGATTCTGACGAGAACCCTTGCTCGACCTGCCCGTTCCCGGAATTTTTGAAAACATACGAAAAGTCCAGGCCTTGACTTTGTTTGAATGTTGCTTTCCCTTTCTCCGCTCGCTATCTCTAGCTCGGACTTCAATGACCGAAAGCTGTAAAAGACAAAACCAGTGCCTTGCTGCCGTGTCACGAGGATCAAGTCAGGAATGAACCACGACTTTGCATAGTGCCAGGCGATCTGTCTTGGCCGCCTCGGACACCAAACAGAAACCGCCAATGCTAAGCCCAAGACACAAACCACACACACACACACACAAATAACAAAACAACTCCGTCCCGAAACTCAAGTGCCTAATTCCAAAAACCCGATGGCCTACCACGTGCCAAGCTAAAGCCTTGAAGACGCAATCTGCCCCAAGTAAACCCTATACTCGCACCTCAAACGGGCCTCAACCCGGGGCATGGGGTTTGAGAGTGGGGGGCCTCTCACTGTGACTTATGCGGTAATGTAGGAGCCTTAATAATTAGAATAGGGTTGAGGGGTGTATTATACTATAATTATAATAGGGACCCTCTTCTAGTTATCAAGGTCCCTACATTAACTCTGTTTTCTATTCGCCGAAAGGGATGTCCTGTTTCTCGTCAAGTCTAGCTATCCCGTTCGCGCGGCTACCCTACACCCTCTAAACATTAAAAAATCCTCAAACACTGAACCCTAGATCTTCATCAACCCTGGAACCCGTCCTAAACCACTCCCCCCTCAACAACAAAAGACAAAGCGAACCTAGATAGAAATTGTTATGCACTGTCGTAAAGCCCGAGCGGCATCTCGATCCCGGCTCCGGTGTCATAGCCTGTCAAGAAGTTGACGAACAAGTCGAAGATCCAGTACCTTATGGCATCAAGTCTACGGCAACGGTTTCAATGCTGACTTTCGGAGTTCTGAACTGATGTTGAGGGGTGGTGGTATCTGTTGTGTTGGCCTTTGGTATATGTTGTGTTGGCTTCGGCTTTGTTTCCTTGGCAACGGCTCAGGTTTCGGGTTTACGACTTCGAGTGTAGGCCGTAGGATTGAAAGTCTATAGACTGCAGCTTAGAGCTTGAGGTTGTGTGATGGTGGGTGGATTCTAACGGCACCATGTCTCAGTATTCATAGCTAAAACTGGTGTCTTAAGTCAGCGCACTGAAACCTCTACTGCACCTAACTTGACCAGGAGCGACTGAACAAGTCCATGCAAACATGTTCTTGCTGCCCGAATGCTTCTCCTCTGTACGACTCCGAGTCTGGGACCACGAATACGGTTTAGGCTTTAGGGTTTAGAGTTTAGGGTTTAGGGTTTAGAGTTTAGGGTTTAGGATTTAGAGGTTAGGGTTTAGGGTTTAAAATTCAAAAGAGCAGCCGCCTTTTCCCTGCTCTTCTACTTGAAACTGGTCAAGGGCTTTGGAGATCTTCTCAATTTGAGGTATTCTCTTTTTAAGATTATTTGATATTAAAGTCTTCTTCATGGGATCAGTGCTGGCCTTACAGACTCGAGCCGTGCGTAAGGGTTGCTCGGTGGGCTTGTCAGAGCTAGCCTGGCCGAAGTCTCTGTTAATAGTATATAGTATACAATATAGTATAAGGTAGTGTAGTCATATAGTATAGTATTAATGTAGTGTAGTCATATATTATATTATAGTATAGTATAGTATAGTATAGTATAGTGTTTCTGGAAGCCAAAGGCCAGTAGAGGATTGAAGCTCTATCCGTCGGACGAGGTGCGCAAGAGTCACCAAGCTGGCCCAGTAGAGGAATTCCATGGTCGCGTTGTCCACCCCGCCCAGGATCAGGGGAATGGTCACGACATCCCAAAAAATCAAGAGCATTCCTTCACAGAGTGGCTACTTGAGGGCGACACTAGACATGCCTCTGCTGGGTTCCGTGCATACAGTTGAACTCGATCCGTGGGAATCATATTATAGGCTGAAACGAATTGATCTGGCATTTGAGAAGGACAAGCCAGTAAGCAGGTACCGAATCGCACGACTCGAGAAATCGAGCCCGAAAATGTAGGAACCTTTTTCGCAAGCCCCTGCTTCCTGTTAGGAGGTGTAATATGCTTGCAGTACTTGCGAATTGGAAACAACAGCTTCTGAGTCAGCTTGCTATATGATTGCCGCTGGTTCCTGGGCCGGATTTGTACTGCTCCTTTAGCACACCACCAGCCACAACCTCCAAATCCTAGGCGCCAACATCCCTAAAAAAACTCTGAAACCTAAAACCCCAACCATGGCCGTAAGCAGGACTTGACTTGTCCTGGGTTGTCGGGGCGTGTGGGGGGAATGACAGAAAAGCCTCAGAACCTTGTCACTCCTGCAAGCACGGTCCAAGTAAACACGCAAGCCGCAAAGGGCCGCATCCAATCTGGATGAAATTTAGGAGGTCCAGTGCCATGAGATCTGTCAACAGCCTGTGTGTGATGAACAACAACACCATTACCGAGCTGCTGAATCTAGGGCTCGGTTCCATGGGGTCGTCTGGCTTCTGTGTTGGGATAAGGTGCATACAGAGGCTGATAACCACCCTTGGCTCCTGAACCCTCCCCACACCACATGGGAGCTTCCGGAAACTAGGGCACCTTATTCTGGGGTCCTTATAATAAGGATCCTATTATTTAGGGTACTATATTAGGGTCCCCTATTTTCGGAAACCCCCACATGAACAAGACAAACGGAACGCAAAGGTGACACAGATCCACAAGGCCTTCAGGCTTTAGCCGACAGCTGCAGCACAAGATATCGGTTGCGCAGCTTCGTGGTGGCTTGTAATATCGAGTTCCATCTGCTAGGTAAGCCGTTGATCTACAAGTGCCGAAAGCTCCTGATTCGCTTAAACGCACCCTAAGTTCCCAAAACCATCTGGAGAATGGTGGCTAAAGCCCTGAAGCCCCAACAAAAGCCAAACCTTGAACCTGTCAGGCTTTAGCCAACATCCGCCGCGTGACCGAAGCAAAGCCACGCAAGCCGTGGGAGAGCATCCGGATGAAAAACGAACCTTGCAATGTATAGGGCCTTAATCATTATAATAGGGCAATCTTGCTTTCTTTATGAAAGGAGAAGATTAAACATAGGCAAAATAGGGTATGTTTTACCATGTTAGTTAGAAGTCCTGGAAATAATATCGGCGCCGATGATCGGGTTCTCTGAGGGCTTCGGGTGCAGGGTGGCTTTGGCGTTTCCTTTCGTTTGGGGTTTAGCGTGCAATTAGCAGTTATGACCAGCTTTCCCGAGATTGTTGGGGAACTTAATATTAAGAGGGTGATACTTGGGTTTGTACAGCTTTGTAGAAACTGCGACCCGGCACCAATCTCTGCAGTAAGGTTCCGCTGTAGCTCCAAAAAGAAGGCGTACCAAGTATCCTAAGTAATCCTAAGAAGGTTCCGAACTGTTTTGGGTGCTCTTTGCCTCCTAACTAGAAGGGTTTAGGGCTTGAGTCGGGATGAATCTTTTTTTCACAAGGGACTCTGCTGCTGCCCTTACTCCCCACTCGGGATGAATCTGGGGTTTGGGATTTAGGTGCCCGGGCTTGGGGATTCGGGGTAGAGCTAAAGAAAGAATGGCTTCTCAGGCTTCTCCTTTTAGAGGGGGTGAGGGTGGTGGGGCGGGGCGGGCCGGGGCGGTCGGATAGACTGTCTCCGAGACTGGAACTCCTTTAAGGTCATCTCAATTTTAGTGGTTCCGGCATTTGCCTGAGGCTCATCGTGCCCAAACAGTGAGAGCTGCAAGCCAAAGGCTAAGGCGGCGTAGAGAAGTAGATCCCGAACGCAAAACCCGAGGGCGCTGTGGCCGAAACGGCAAGGTGCCTTTGCAAAATGGAGCCCTCGTCGACCATCAGGCTTTTCACCCGCATCACCTAAGTGTCAAAACACCATTTCAAGCTGCACCAAAGGCCCAAAACCTCAGAGTAGGGTTGCTAGCTGTTCCTAGGCTGCAATACGGGCATGATGGGGTACTATCATCTCGTATGAGGTGCTTGGTAAGGTGTTTCTTTATCCGGAAACTCTGATTATTATAGAGCAGACTTTATTGCCTGAACAGTCGGATCCATGGATCCATGGAGCGAGAAACGGGCTACTGCAATCGAATACGCAGGCTCATGACTTAAGCAAGAGGGCTTCAGTAGGTCTCTGTAATACTGCAGGATGAGCGAATGCACTAGAGATGAAGCTTTCAATGCCCAGCCCTGCGCTCCGAATGCGTCCTTGCGGAGCTTCCGTCGGAAACCTCCAGCCGGGCCTCCAAATGTATCCGCAGTGTAGAGAACTCACCAAGCCCCAATCAAGCCGTAGTACAGGGGCCAAGCATAAATGGGTGTTTCCGACAATAGATGACCCTAATACAGTACCCTAAATAGTAGGATCCTGTTTATAAGGACCCAAAATAAGGTACCCTTATCAAATTGGGCTGCAGGGCTGCAGTAGAAGCACCAATGTCTGGAGTACAGCCCAGGACCTCCCGGGCCGAGGACCTTTGGTAAAGGTATGGACTACAAGGGAGCGGAAGCAATAGGTGAGCCCAAGACCCTTAAGCCGTATACAGTCGAAATCCGAAACCAAAAGCAAGCGCTCTAATACAGGGGCCTTAATGATTAGAATATGGTTCTGGGGCCCATTATACCATGCTGAAAAAAAAAGGAACCCAAAAAAATAGTACAGGTAATTGTTTAGGCCACCATATTATACCATGCTGAAAAAAAAAGGAACCCCAAAACTAGTATAGGTAATTGTTTAGGCCCCTATATTATACCACGTTACATCCGGCTTTGGCTGATGCAACCTAACATACTCGCTCCGCGTCACGAAATCGGCCGATGTCTCAACCCTACACTAATTATTACGGCCCCTATATTTGTACATTTCTGTTTTGGGTTCCGAATTTTACATCACAGCTCACCGGAACCTGCAACCATAAAGTCGCGAAGTTCTTCAGATGCAGCCGTGGTCACCGAGACGCTCGGGCGAACGGACGCCTGCTTGGCTGCATGCCTCGGTTGTTTAGCAGGTGCCAAAGTCCTGTTACATCAGAACTTCTCAAGGTATCCTTATTACTAGAAGCCTTGTGGTCCTTGAAAGTCGGTGTTTGTAAAACCTGATATAGCTATTATCGTCACCCTTGATTTCTGAACCTCTAGTATTGGGCCGAAAGTATCAGCAGTATGCCACGAGGTAGCCACCAAAGGATCTTGTAATTCTGTTGGGGGTTGTTGGAGTAAGCTCGGGTTTTTGAGCCTAAGCTTAGGTGCACCGCCCTTGTGCAAGAGCTACCACGAATGACCAGTGTGGGCATATAATTTGACAGTGCCCTTCTTTCCTGAGCAGCGCACGGCTGATGTGCGGCTGATAAAGACGCGTGCCCTTTGACAAAGCAGATTCAGCCAGGGTTGTTTGCAGTTTCTGGTGTTTGGAACTGGAATTGAAGATGCAGGTCTTCCTGCATGGAAGTGTAGGGCTTGCTTGTACTGGACACCATGAAGGGCTTTACACTCTCACAACTCGGACAAGCCAGGCGAGGATCCACCATGAAGGGCTTCGGGGTTCAGGGTTTTGGGCTTACGTTGCCGACCCTCGCTCTAGGAAGGCAGGGCTGCACGACGACTGGTAGGTAGCTAGGTAGGTAGACAGGCAGAGGCAGGCAGGCAGGTTTGCCAGCAATATTATGAACAAGCAAGCGAGTAAGGGAGCGAGCTATCCAGCCACCGGCCAGACAGCTGGCTAGCCAGCCAGCAGACGCAAGCAAGTAATGCCTGCAATTGTGCATGTGTATATATATATATATATGTGTATGTATGTATGTATGTACGTATGCATGCATGTATGCATGTATGCATGTTGTGTGTATGCATGCATGTGTGTAGGTGTGTGTGTGTGTGTGTGCATGGATGGATGGATAGATGGCTGGATGGGTGGGTGGGTGGGTGGGTGGGTGGGTGGGTGGATGTACGTATGTATGTATGTATGTATGTATGTATGTATGTAACTAAGCATGCATGTGTCTGCATGCCTATGAGCGTATTTGTGCTTAAAGCAGGAAGACCTTCTGCCCCCCATCGCGTCATACATGCTGAACTCCGAAACCCTTTCTCCGAACCCAAATTTCAAACCCCCCAACAAGACCACGTTGTCAAGCGGCGACTTGCGAACAGTGACTTTGGTCCCTGTGCGGCTTTCGGACCGTTCGTTTCGGCTAGCTTCGGACTTACAATGTAAGAGCTTTCTTTCGGTGTGAACCTAAACTCCGAACCCTTAACCCCTAAACCCTATAAACCCTAAACCCTATAAACCCTAAACCCTATAAACCCTAAACCCTAATGAACCTAAACCCTGAACCGTAAACCGCATCAGGATTCAGGGGTTCCGGGCCATGGCATTCTATGCATACGTAGGGCGCGGGAGCCTTCCTGACATCGTGCTCACATTGACATTTTTAGGGTGATCGAGTGTCTTAATTGGGGTCGTTCCTGCATTCCCATAATTTTTCCTTACGGCGGACCCTTCAAGACCCTGATCAATCCACCAGCAAATTACAATATGTTCTCAGAACCGTGGGGCGATGCCTCTGGCCACAGATCCCGAAAAGGCTTGCATCTGGGGATCACCCGGATTAGGCTTTAGGCCGGGATGACCCCGCAGCCGGATGCTCCTTGGCGTCCTGTTTGACTGTGATCTGTGCCCCGACTACCGACTACCCGAAAGGCCGAACACCTACCGAAACGATTCCAGAGAGTCATCCCAGAAAAATGGCATCGGTGGCCGCGCTTCACTCTAACATCCCTGTGCGAAAGCCAGAACCTGGAACACGGGTCAAACCGAACCCTTTCGCAGCTGGGCTCTGATTGTCAGCCAGCTTAAACCCCCAAACCCCAACCCTGCAAAACCTCGGTGTCGCGCCGAAACTCTAATCCCTGTACCTACCAGCCTCCTGAAGGGGAGGGTTCAGCCCTGTAGTAGTCTTCAGATTCAAGCACTAGAAACCCCAAGAAGACCCAGCAAATTCTCGGGCTCTTCTGGGTCTTCCTGAAGCCCCTAAAAGGAAGAGGATCAGGAAGCAAGAACAAGCCTGGGGACCATTGTGGATGAATGGAGAAGTACTCGGCAGGCATCTGAATCCTCCAAGATCCCACACAGGGAGCTTCAGGGTTCTCCTTTGAGGTTTAGGGTTTAGGGTTTAGGGTTTAGGGTTTAGGGGTTTAGGGTTTAGGGTTTAGGGGTGTTTCTTGGTATTTGGTCTGTCGGCTGTGGTATGGGTGTAGCTCTGTGCCTATTTCTGACTCGCGGTAGTGAGGGGTTCGACATAGACTCTAAGCTTCGGGCACGTCGGTTCGGAAGCAAGGATCTGCTTCCTGGCCGTATCCCTACATGTGTCTTGCGATGCTCAAGCCTGCAAAGCTTGCAGACATAGTGCGATGTTCGTTTCGAGATTCGGGGGACCTGGCACCACAACAAGTCTCAAACAATCCGTCGCCGTCTGAACCAACCTGAGGCATCTGCCTATAGTCTCCATTGTAGTTCCTTTTTTTGGTTTAACCAATAATATATTCAGGATTTTATAAGGTATCCCCAAAAAGGAACTACAATGGAGACTATAGGTGGAGCAGGAGCGTGCAAAACATCGAGGATTGGGTTTTGTATGGGCGCCCCTTTCTGGCGGTCGTCGGAGGGCACGGAAAGCTTCTGTTCTGAAAAGTAGATAAGAGCTCCGATGGCCCATATACACAAGCCCTGCCGGCAAGCCTGAAACCATGCCTTCAATGCCTTCCCCAACAACCCAAGATGCTCCGAAATTGGATTTGACAGGGGTATGTGCGGAGGCAAAAAACCCAAATCCCTTTGCACCCCTGTTTTTTCACAAGGGGCTCGTCAAAATCCCCCAACTCAACCCTAAACCCTAAACCCTAAACTTGATTGCGCCGGCCTCCGATCGGCTGCCAGCCCCTGTGGCGGATTGGGGGGTGAGCACGGTTTATTGCAACTTCTGGCTCTCCGGGCGCCCATAGAAGTTTCGAGCGAACGTTTAGGGATTACTAGGGTGTAGGCGGATCTAGAACATGCCGCTGGAATTCTAGAGGAGCATGTGCTCACTCGACATGGATCCTGCCGAAGTTGACAGTTACCGCTCGCCTACGCTGCGCCGAATACCCCTTGAATTAAGAATTTCCCCCCCTACTGTTGCCAGCACAAAAGCAGCGAGGCTGAAATCATCGTTGGAAGCTTTGAATCGGTTGATTAAGGGGCCTCAATAATAGATCAGGCGTAGTTCTACAAAGGTCTCATGAGGACTCAAAGTACATCATTTCTACTCAGTCAGGCGTATTTTCCCGTTCAGGCTGCGAAGATTTGAGCTGCCGACGGGGCCTTCGAACAGGTGTCTGCTAGAATTGCCCTCAACCTCAAGCGAAACAAACAAGGACTCCCCTAGCGCATCCGGTTGCTTAAAAAATGGGTTACTGGGGTACGTGATGTTGCTTGAAACCCATATGTTTTAAGGAACTGCAGCCCTAAACCCTAAACCCTAAACCCTAAACTCTAAACCCTAAACCCTAAACCCTAAACCCTATAGGCCCTTCGGGGTTCGCAGGGTCAGGAGAAAACCAATACACCTCAGACTCCCACCACACCCAAATTGGGGGTTTCCGAACATAGGGGACCCTAATTTAGTACCCTAGATAGTAGGATCCTTATTATAAGGAGCCCAAGATAAGGTACCCCTTACTTTCGGAAACTCCCGAATCCCAAACCCAACCAACACACCCCCACCCACGGCTTCTTGCGCGCCGCGGAACTCCCTCGAGTGCCGGAAGCAGCAGCGACTCCCACTTTGGCAAGGTGCGCAAGTCCTTTCCGCAACGGCTCAAGGCTTTTTGAGCTTGCAAGGGTTCGCGATGCAGGCTTGACTCGTCGAAACTGTCCGCATGCTAGACTCGACACTTTAACCAAAGCCTTAAACAGCTCGAAAATTTTATCTCGTAAACCCATGCTACACCCTCAAGCTTGTTCCTTTAGTACCCCCCAAGAGTCCTCTCGGCTTGAATGCTGGCTGAAGATCTCAGCCTCCTCCCCTTCGATCATCCCCAGCTCCTTCTGCACACTTGCATGGAGACAGCGCTTCAACCGACCCTAATTATAACAATAGTTTAGTAATATTATTGAAATATTATAGTAATTGTGTCTGAATTGTTCCAAAGAGCACAGTACCCTTAGGGTAGGGGGCTTCGGTTGAAAACGCCTTTTCGAGACCGCCTCGATCGGCGCATACCGTTCTTTAGGGTTTTGGCGCTCCAGAGCTGCGACGTCAAAGCGTGTGTAGGTGGTTACGGAAGTAAAGTGTCGATTATCTGGGTTGTGATGACCATGATTCCAAACGCGTATTACGAACTGTCGACTTTGACGCCCTGCGAGCAGCAATAACAAACTGCCACCGTCTGATACCCAACAGTGCGGCAGTCAAAGGTGAAACATTGCCGAAAAGAGAGAAAGTCTGGCTTCGCCGTGACGAAGGCTAGGCGAAGCACTGCCTGCAGGTGTGCTGGCAGTTCTCCCTCACAGCATCGTCATTGCAATCAGCATTGTCACAGTCTATCTTGTCATAGCAACACTGAGTCGGGCAGCTTGGGTTGCTCACCTGAGAGCAGCAGGTAGCGGGGCAGAGCTGACGCAGTGGGGCCGCAGACCAGAGCTCAGGATTAGTGTTGCCGGCGCAATAGTTTGTAAGTGTCACCGGGTCTTCAGACACATTCAGCAAGGCACTACAGCCCTCAGTCAGCATCTTTTGGGCAATGGCCTTCACTTCGTTTCTCAATGCCTGGCTTAAGACCACTGCAAGGGCCTCCACCTCGTCAGGGTACATCTCCCAAAAGTCTTGCCAGCTCCTCGAAGTAACTGGGACGTCCGTGCAGTTGAGATCCCGCATCTTGCCGAATTTCATTGAGTCACGACACCCTTTCGAGCAGCCATGGTACTCCACCTTGTACCAGGGATTCACAAACACGTCTTCACATCCACAAGTCACACCACAAGACAGGCGGAGAAGGTGGTAGCCCTCGTAGTCACACAACTGACGCATGTCTTCGCAGCTGCTGCCGTCGGGAAAACCGACACTATGTGCGGTGGAATACCAATAGGGGCCGTACACTGCCAACATGTCTTGGGATTGGTTGGTATCCAGCCAGGAATCGAAGTTTTCGCATGTTAAGACCGTTTTCGCTATGGCCTCCATGGTTTGGGTTCGTCTGCTTTCGAACTTTCTGCTCTGTTCAAAAAGAATGCGTTGCCAACTGCTCCCCTTGGAAAAAGCATAGTCTGTGACGGCCAACTCGATCAGAGTGGCATTCCTGTTGCTTGAGAAAGGTGTTGTGTTTCGGCCAATGGTCACTTCTTGGTTCTCATTGACGTCCACAACAAAATCTTGATCACCATCACAAAACTTTTTCTTCACCAGCTTCATGTTCTCGCCCAGAGGTTCCACGAGCTGAAACCAAGGCACTAGTATTAACACTGTCATGAACACCAGGAGGAGCAAGGCCTCAAACTGGCTACGCCTCCGAGAATAGACCACCTTGATCGCCTCAAGGTCCTGAATTGTGAGCAGAGCACCACATATGTATGTATGTATATATATATACACACACAAAGACTAGTATAGCATAGTATAGCATAGCATAGTGTAGCGTAGTATAGTATAGTATAGTATAGTATAGTATAGTATAGTATAGTATAGTATAGTATAGTATAGTAGAGTACGGTATAG